TGACAAGGCTGCCTCTTTCCTCACTCAGGCCTCAGCCCATTCAGGTTTACTCCATCCGGGACGTTTTCTTGCCTTCTTCCCCCTGGTGGTCACCCTGCCATTGGCTCCTCCAGACCCCCCAGTGAGCTTGGTCAGGAGTGCTGGTAGCCCAGCCCGGGACTCGCGTACAAGCGGTCCCTCGGCCAGGCAAAAGGAGCCCCGGGATATCGGCGCCAGCTTCCCACGGTGGCCTGGGCCAAGCCCTGCACCTCGGCCCCCGCTCTGGGTCGTCCCAGGTGCGCGTGCGGGGAGCACGAGGCGCAGCGCGGCGCGAAGGGGCCGACAACTTCCCGGCGCGAGAGGCTAGGCCCCGCAGACGGCGGCGCGGGCCGCGGCAGGCTGGAGCCCGCGGCCCCGGCGCGCGCGGCCTGGCCATGGCACTCCAGGTGCCCACAGGGCCAGCGAGGCGTGGGGCTGGCGCGCAGGACTAGGGAGAGCGCCGTGATGCGGTGGATGGCCCTGCGCAGCGTGGCGATCTTGGAGAGCCTCTTTCCTCCCAGGTCGTGCCGCAGGGCCCTGCGCAGTGCGTTAAACGCCTCATTGTAGTCCAGGATGCGCTTGCGCTCCCGCACGTTGGCAGCCATGCGCCGCGCCTTGGACCGCGCCGGCCGGGCGCGCTTTCTGCTGCCCGCCACCTCTTCTGCTTCGCCCAGGCCGCGGGGGGCGCCATTCTCTCTCAGCACCCCGAAGTCCTTCCCGGCTTCCAGGCAAGAGTCCCCCAAGTCCTCGGCAGCGCCCTCGACCCGCTTCAGGCCCCTGAGGCCTGGTCCTGGCACACCCCGGTGCATGGCCTTCCGCCGCGCCTTGCGGCCCCGGCTCCGGCTCGCGGGGCTGACGATCCACTTTCTGAAAATTGACTACTGCAGGCTGGACACTCCCAGGACGGGCCCTCTTTACCTGGGCTTTATGGCACCACGTGGCTCTCCGCCCCCCTCCCCCCCCCCATCCATCTGCCTCCTCCTGCTTTATTACCTGCCTCCAGGTACTTTGGTGAGGGAGGAACCAGAGGAAGGAAGCAAGGAAGGGAGGAAGCATGCAGATTCTTGTTAGAGGGGGCAAGACGGGCAGCCGGCCACGCCCGGGGTAGCTCTCTAGCCATGCGCCAGGGAGAACTTGCTCTGCCCCACTCCAGGGCCTCTCTCAGGTGGCTGGGTTCCACATTCTTCCTCCCGACCCCAACTAGAGTGCCAAATTTGGCCTCTGGGCAGGAGTGCTGATAGGCGCACAGATGGTTGCAGTGGTAGCTGAATGTTTCTCAAGAACCTTGAAAGTTCGTGTCAAGTCCTGTGGACAACCACAGAGCTGTCATTGAGGAATGCATGACTGTCCTGGTGGGAACAATAAGGGAGAGGCAGATCTGATAGATGAGGGCCCGCAGGCAAGATGGACCTGCAGCTTCCGGCTTTTTCAGCTACCGGAGTGAGGCTGGCTGGAACTGTGGGTTTAGGTTTTGATTAGGCCTTACTCTCTCTCTACCTCCATTGGTTCCCCCTTCTGCAGCAGGGCAGGGCTGAGTCAGCAACAAAGGGTGATGGAGATTGTCCTGTGGCCCTCTGACTCCCCTTGTGGTACCATCAGGTGCAACTTTTGGGGTCCAGGAACCTTTGACAGCCCTGTCTCACGACACAACACTGTCATGTTACCACCTGCCACCCCCAACCCCAGAGATTTG